TCTTGCATTTACTACCACTGTGTCCCAAGATTTTACTGAGAAAAAAAGAGACCTGCAACTACAAAATAAAATCAGTCTGACAAGGACTTGGAAGGCAGGGGAAACTAAAACACTCCACAATTGATCTTAGTGCTTAAAAAAGTATCAAACTAGATATGTTTTGTGCAATTGGGTGAAACTGGTTGGCAACATGACTATTAAAGGTGCATCATAATAAGATTAAAATATATTAAATTTAAAAAAGTATAGTGCCTACAATACATCAATTAGCCACTGAACATCATCTCTAGACCCTTCTCCAGGAATAGAAACGGGAAAGGCAGGGAACACTAGTATCAAGTGAGTCACAAAATTCTAATATTAGAGAGTAGCTTTAAATCATTTTTGGCCATGATCCACAGCAGGAAATATATACATATTTGTGAGCCTATAAGGTACATGCAACACTAAAAAATATGTTTTACAGATTAATTATCCTTATTCAGTACACTTCACTCTGGTGTTTTCTATTCCAGTCTCCCTGTTTTTTGTTTGTTTGTTTGTTTGTTTGTTTTTTAAATAGGGTTATGACTCTCAGTTGGTTCTGAAAGTGAGGAGGGAAGAGGAGTAAATGGAGGAGCTAGAGATGGAGGGTGGGGGAATGTTGACGGGGGGACTTTGTCCCACAGTGGATATTTGGCAATGTCTGGAGATGTTTTGAGCTGTCACAACGGGGTGGAGATCCTACTTCCACCTAGTGGGTAGAGGCCATGGATGCTGCTAAACATCTTAAAATACAGAAGACACTACTGCAAAACAATAAATCCAGCCCCAAATGTCTACAGTACCAAGGATGAGAAACATGCTCTGGATTATTTAATAAATTGGTATTAGGTAAAATTTTAAAGTCAGTGGTAATTTTTAAAGCTTGTGAAAAATATATTTAAAACTTTGGGAGTCATGTCCAACATTCAAATTCAGAGATACTGTGACATCAGTAATCTAAGACATCTCCTTCCATAACACAAAGATAAAAAAACAAAGAAGGAAAATTGCAATTTGGGGAAGTGCTCAATATAGCTTTGTGGAAAGCAAACTATACCATTATACGTTAGGAGATAAGTGTTACAAAACATACAAATCATTATTGGAGACTATTCTAGTCTCTAAATAGGTACTTCTCACTGAATACTACTATTGGGGGTAATATCAAACAGGAAAAGGTTATTTTACATCTATTTCTTCTTCCTAAACTGAATTAAGTTATGATTTTCCACTGGAAATACATGTTGGCAGAAACCATACTCTGTGAAACAAATCATTAAATAGATGAAAAGGAGGACTACCTCTAAGAGTATTTACTAGGAGCTCAAGTTAGGAAATAATAAAGACATGAGTGACCTGTAGTTTCTTTCCATGTCTGATAAATCTTTTCCTTCTGCTACATAGTATTATAAAGGATTTTAATTTAACTCATATATCGGTTTTTATTTATGTGAGATTTTTATGTGTACTTCAAAATCCTGAAACAATGTATAAGACCTTAGAAGGATAACATACATAAAAAGTTTTTCAAATATTAGATTGATGAATTTCTGGTTCTTTTTTGGGGGGGAAGGGAGACTTTCTGTCTTCATGTGGTAAAAGTAGAGGCATTACTTTAGCAAAAAAATTAGCAAAAACTTCTAAATACATATTTAGAAGTATGTAACAGAATCTAAACTAAACCACTAAGTATAACAAAACTTTTTCTTACCTTTTATGATACACTCAGGTAAATATTGAAAATCATCAAGCTGAAGATTACTAAATATACTTAAAGTATTGCAGCTTCTGGGAAATATCTATATGCTCTATGACAAAATTGAGATCTACAGTGTTTCTTTATAGAACTTTATATTTTAACAAGGACAAGTTTCTTATTTATAACTTAAATGCAACTTGTATGAAATAAGAGTCTAACTTGACTATCTCCCCGCTGTATATGCATTTCCCCCAAGTCTACGGGTTGAATAATTTATCTCTTCCCCCTTCGCTTGTGGTGATTTCTATGTTTTCATCACTTGTTTGTTGTAATATGCCACTTTGGCAAAAGGATTGTTTTGAGATGAAAGCAACTGAGGAGGGCAGATACAAAATGGATTAATTCCATTTTGGAATTAATGGATGATTTCTTGTATGTAAAAATGAATGGAAATTAATAGAGAAATTCAAGAAGGCAGCTGCATGTGAAATTAATATGGAATTATTTTTTATTGTATGAAGAATAATTAGGAATTACAAATGAGAGACAGTTTTCATTCTGATCATTCTACCTATTTGCCTAAAAGCAGGACATGTAATTGGAAAGATGACCTCCTTTCTTCTCTGCCAGGAATACAGATGTGAACTACTAGAGATAACTCTTGACCCTTATATAAGCACCTATGGAGACTACATAACAAAACTTGCTAAAACTAGCCTTTACATTCCATTAGTTCCTACAATTCACCACCCCTAGAAGTTGAAAGTCCTTTTCCTTTGTCTTGTCCCCTTTCTAAAAACGTATTGTTCTTTTGTTATAAAAGCTCAAATTCTAACAACCCCTTTAAGTTTTTCCCTGCTGAGTGTTCTCATATATACGTGCAATGCGCATGGTAATAAATTTGTTTCTCTCTTATTAATTAGAATGTCTCTTGTCATTCTAATTTATAGGACTCCAGCCGATGAACTTAAGAGGCATGGAAGGAAAGAAGAGTTAAGTTCTTCATCCTCCTACACCTTCCAGTTTAACTTCAGAAATAGGGTACTTTGATGAACCAATTACAATTATGACTAAAATGTTATTAACCTCTAGAGATGATCTGAAAGGAACATGTATCTTCATGGTATTCAGCATTCCCAATTAGGATCATGAAGCGTATCTCTACTCAAATCTTCCTTTATGTTACTCAAGTTTTGTAGCTTTCTTCATGGAGGTCTCCCTTATTTTTTATTATTCCTTTTTAAATCACATTTTCTGTTTTAGTTCAGAATGAAAACTGTCTCTCATTTGTAATTCCTAACTATTTTTCATACAATAAAAAATAATTCTATATCAATTTCACACACAGCTGCTTTCTTGAATTTCTTTATTAATTTCCATTCATTTTTACATATAAGAAATCAATTATTCCTCAAAATATTGTCAGAAAAGTGTGTGTGTGAGGGGAGTGGTACAAAGGATTCATGTTAGATCCTCACCTGTCTGGTGTAATTCAGCATACACCAAAATAAATTATGGAAAGATTAAGAAGTTAAAGGTTAAAAGTCAATAATAAAATCATGAGAAAATATACAGTTAAATGTCTAACCGATTGGGAATGAATAAAGAGTTTCTGGAGATGAAAGGAATAAAAAAAAACACCAAAGAATGCAAATACTTAGGCATATTAAGTTCAATATTTTCAAATGACCAAAGAAAATTAGATAAACATCAAAATGGGAAATAGATTTGGGACAGAAGACAGTTAAATGGGTTAAATCTTAACCACATAAAAAGCTCTTATAAATCAATAAGATAAAAACTAATTATGCCCAATAGGAACATGGGCAGAAGAAATAAAAGGAATAAATAGATAATTCACAGAAGATATAAAACACCAATTTACATACAAAATATTCAACTCCACAATCAAATTCAAAATAAAATTACAAAGAGATAGCATTTTTTTGTGGTCTATTCAAAAGCAAAAATGTGGTGCATTTAGCCCCAAAGCTAAAGACTATTTGCTTGATGAAAGCATATGACAGGAGTATGGAGTGTTATAACCGTTTTGAAAAGCAGGTTGGTAATCTGAATTAAAAGCTTCAAAAAAATCAAAGCACGAATATGTATTTGTAAAATACTTGAATATAAGCAAAAAATTACATATATATATAAAGATGACCGTTATAATACCATTCATAATAACAATTGGAAGCAACTGCAATATTAGCACAGCCATTTAAAATATTTTTCTGAAGATTATCTAATGGCCTGGAAAAATCTAATGACATGATATCAATTGAAAAAATCAGAATACATGCATAGGAAAAAGAAGAAATACAACAATATGTTAATAATGGTTATATTTGGGGAAAATGTTAATGGATAGCTTGTATTCGGTTGGCCAAAAAGTCCACTTAGTTTTTTCCCATAAAATAAAAGGCACATTTTTCATTTTCACCAATAACTTGGTTGATTTGGGTATTTTCAGTATGTCAGTATCTCCTGCTATTGTCTCTAGTGGGTAGAGGCCAGGGGTGCTGCTAAATATATTCTAATGCAGAAACAGCCCATGGCAAAGAGTTATTTGGCCAAAATGTCAATAGTACCAAGAAATTTTGCAAATCACTTTTGACACATTCCATCAGACACAGCACTTTTCCCATACAATGTACATATCTTTTTTTGCATTTCAGATGCATTTTTACCTTTCTTGAAATAAAACATAATACGCTAAAAATGTTGCTCATTTTCTTCCATCTTCAATATTAAAATAGCTACAGAAAAATTCACCAATTTTGACAAGTTTTTTTTTAAATGCATTCTAATATGACAGCTGTCACAATACAATCTAACAAAATTGTTTCTAATGAAGTTAAAGACAACTAAGCGCTGCTACAGACATCATACAGAAAAAACTAAATGCACTTTTTGGCTAACCCAATATTTCATTCTTTACACTTTGAGGAGTTTTTCAGATGTTCTGTAAACATATTGTTACTTTTAAAATGAAAACCAAAAAATGTTATATAACTAATAGGTTTAAAAAAAAAATGCCATCAAGTGATGCAAGAAATTTTTTCAGAAACAAAGCAAAAACCAATTTAAAAAGTCAATGGAGGATGCTCACTTTTTATAAGTTGAAATTTTCTTCATATAATCAATATCATTAAAATACTTAAAATAAAGGTAGTAATATCTAAATTTTAAACGTTTACTCAGAAATACAACCTAAAGCAAAAAGCTCATCTAATCAATTTGCAGGGAATCGTGTGATTGGAACAGAATAGCTTACCTTTTTCACTTACACTCTCACTTTCAATCTCAACATCATCACAACTTGTATATTCAGGTGTGGAAGCTAATTCCTCCTCTGAACTGCTCAGTGAAACCTGGCGCATTTTACCTCCTTTCTTCGATTTATGAGGCTTTGGTGGTGGAGGTCTCACAGACTCTGACTGGTCCGAACTGAGAGAATCATTCCTTAACATCGTTTCCATTTTTTCCCGTTTTGTTTTCCTCACAGCAGAGCTAGGATCTAAGTGGTGTTGTTTCCTTAGTGAGTCAGTACGCCTCATGTCTTGTCTATCAATAGGTATTGGACTCCTCCGGGGGGTAGGAGGACTATGGTTTGTGGTCCTTTGTGGATAAGAAATTGGTCCCTGAGCCTCTCGAGTTCTTTCCATTGAATAAGATCTCTGATTTTCCATGGCAGCTCTACGTTCAGATATAGATCTTTGCCTTGATGGTCTTTCCATCCTTAGCATAGAAATCCTGGAATCTTCCAGTTCAGCATTTGCCAAAGAAACATCACTATGTCTTCTCTCATGCCGCGCTCTGGACACTTCAGCATGAATACGCATTTGTTCTTCATAGGGCTGTGGCTTTACTGGATAGCGGGCCAAATTTGGATCACTTCGATAGCGTGCCTGGTATTCCTCCTCTCTCCGCTGTCTTTCATATTCATCTCTGCTCTCCACATCTTCGTCATCTACAATATATTCTTTAGAATGCTTATGGCTTCTCCTGTTGGAGTCCCTATAATTTATATGATCAGATTCTTCATAAAACTGAGGATCACGTTGAGACCGCCTATCAGCATAATCTGATGGAGATCTAGGCATTGCGCTATCTGAAGTAGCATACTGTGAATATTCCTCTCTTTCTTCCCTTTGGTCGTATCTTCTTTTCTGATCTCTGGACAGTGATGGACTTCTTTTCCTAAGTAATCAAAGAAAAGAGATAATGAGAAAAGCAATATTTAAATAATTTTACATTTTACTGATGCACTGTCAGGTTGATGAATAAATTCAAATAGTTCTTTTGCTTCACTTTTTAAAATTTCATTTTAAAGTCATTAAAACAAAAGTTTTACTTACATTCATTATATTTATAATAGTTCAAATAGGAAATTTAAGTTATTTTTGATGTGGTTATTAAATGCCTGATACACTATATATATATATATACTCATATATATATATATGAAATACACTTATGTCTTGAAATTAGATAACCATCAAATTCTGCTGCTGTAAACAGAATTCATTCTAATTTCCTTGTTTGGCTCCCAGCTTCAGCTATCTCCCAACTGTTCTTCAGAAGCTCAAAAAATATTCTACCTCCTATTCTTTCTATTTTTGACACCTTTCTGAAAGTTATTTGAAAACACAATGAAGCCAAACTAACTTGGCTCAAGAGTTGAATACTTTCTGACTAAAGCTAAGTGTTGGCTCTTAAAAATCAATTTTCATTCATCTAGCTTTATAAATCACTCCTAGTATTGGTTCATCTAAGTCTTTATCTTATTGTCATTTCTCCAACCCTTCCTTACTACCATAACTTAAGACAAGCAATTTAAGTAAATACCAACAATAATTTATTGATAACAAAACCCCTAGAAATCAGGAAGGACTGTTATTTTTATTCCATCTTCATTAAGATTAAGGCTAGCTCTAATGACTCTTAAAGATTAATGACTCTTCTCTGGCTTCACATCTGACCCCTCATATTTCCTTACAGTCTCAGAGGAATATACTGTATATTGTTTTGAACCTGCCCCTCTAACACTGGTATAACATGATGGACCTTGCAGTCACACTTAGTATTAATACTCTCTGCCAACAAAATATTCACATTGGCCTCTTCTCTGGCATGAATTTGGGCAATGTCAACCATTAGCCATATGAAGCAATGGAACCGGGATGCTGAAGATGGCAGGGAAGGTTTAGAATAACTGTTATGAACATTTTGTCAGAACACGGACAGGAGAAAATTAAATAGTAGGATCAGTTAAATTTAAGGATAACCAATATCAAACAGCTCAATGGTGAATTTGTTAGACAATATATGTTTTTTTATCCAAAAGCAAGAAGAGAAAAGATACATGTGGGATCATGCACTCTAAAGTCTCTTCTGTGTTCCTGAATCCCTTTTCCTCCATAGCTGAATACAGTCTGTCAATGTATCAATTAAGGTTCATTAAGGAAAACAGAAGTCATTCCAGGTTTTCCAGGTAGGAAAGGTATTAGTGCAGGAATCAGAAGCTGCACAACTGGTATCTCATTGTAGTTTTGATTTGCATCCCCCTAATAGCTAGTGAAGCTGAACACTTTTTCATTTATCTGTTGACTATTTGTATATCTTCCTGGAAGAAGTGTCTGTTCAGTCCTCTGCCCATTTTTTAAAATGGATTGTTTGTTTGGTGTTGAGTTGTATGAGTTCTTTATATATTTTGGATATTAACCTTGATTGTCAGAGCTGTTGTTTGCAAATATCATCTCCCTTTAGGTTGATTGCCTTTTTGTTTGTGGTTTCTTTTGCTGTACAGAAGCTTGTTACTTGATATAGTTCATTTGTTTTTTGCCTTTACTTCTCTTGCCTTTGAGGTCAAATTTATAAAATCTTCTCTAAGACCAAGGTCCATAATAAGTTTAGTACCTATATTTCTTTTATGTAATTTTTTGTTTCAGTCCTTACATATTTAGGCCTTTGATCTATTTTGAATTAACTTTTGTATATGGGGACAAACTGTAGTCTAGTTTCATTCTGTTGTATATGCCTTTCCAATTTTCCCAGCACCTTTTATTGAAGAGGCTTTTTCACAGCTGTTAGAATGGCTATTATCGACAAGACAAGTAATAACTAGTGTTGGAGAGGGTGTGTAGAAAAAGGAACCCTCATTCAGTGCTAGTGGGAATGTAAACTGGTACAGCACTATGGAAAACAGTATGGAGGTTCACCAAAAAAGAATAAAGTTACCATATGACTCAGCAATCCCTCTTCTGGGTATCAACTCAAAAAACTTGAAAATATTTATTCACAAAGATACATGCATCCTTATGTTCATTGCAGCATTATTCATGGTGGCCATGACATGGAAACAACTGAAGTGTTCTTCTCTAGATGACTGGATAAAGAAGATGTGATACTTATCCAATGAAATACTACTCAACCATGAGAAAAGATGGCATACTGCCATTTGCAACAATATGAATGGGCCTCAAGAATATCATGCTAAGTAAGTCAGTCAGAAAAGCTAAGAACCATATGATTCTCTCAAATGTAGGTTATAAAACTGAAACTCATAGACACAGACAATAGTATGGTGGTTATAAAAGGAAAGCAGGGGTGGGAGGTAGTGAAGAGTAAAGGGGGACAGATATGTGGTGATGGAAGATATTTGACTAAGGGTGGTGGGTACACAATGCAATATACAGATGATATATCACAGAAATGTACACTTAAAACTTACATAATCTTATTAACCAATATCACCCAAATCAATTTGATAATTAAAAAGGTTTATAAATAAAAAAGAAATTATCCAAAAAATAGGAAAAGAAAGAAGAAGGAGGGGGGAGGGGGAGGGGGGCGGGGGGGAGGAGGAGGAGGAGGAGAAGGAGGAGGAGAAGAAGGAGGAGGAGGAGGAGGAGGAGGAGGAGGAGGAGGAGGAGAAGGAGAAGAAACAACACAGCTGTTGAACAAGCTAGGGAAAGGAAGGCCAGAGATGTTAATACTGCTATCCTAAAGCTGAACAATAAAGAAAGGCAGAAGTTCTGAAAATGGTAATTAGGAAGCAGCTATGAATCTCAAGAGTCTATGGGAATTTGCCACCAATTACCCAGTGCCTACCCATTAGGGTGGTCAATTAACAGGAGCTTGCCCAGGAGCTAATAAGACTCTCACATCTGCCTATCTGCCTGCCTACAACTGCTGCTTGACAATAATCTGTATCTCCTCCACCTTTCAAATCTCACACAAATGCATCACCAGAGTAGACTCTAACCTGGAACCATAAAGGGAAAAATATTATAAAGGAAAGAACCAGCCTGCTCTGCTAAATGTTTTATGATTAAGGAATAAGATATGATTTCTGTTTTACATCTGCATTCTTACATTTACACATAAATATAAAACATTTAGCACTAAATTACAAGTCTTTTAGGTTTAAATTGTTAGATAAATGCATAGACTCCTAGAATTTAAAATATACAACCAAAACAGAGCACTCAAATAAATTTCATAGTTTAACACACATAACATCTGTTATGCATAACTCACTATTTTTTGTCATTTTTTATACATATGACTAAAGCAAAACAGATGTTAGCATGGTAGTGATGTAACAGAACACTAAAGTTGAGGGATCTGGGTTTCATAGTACACTTGACATTAATCAATTATTTGAACCTATATAGCCATTTATGCTTTGAGAGTCTACACTTAAAAGTGAGAGACATAGATTATACACATTAACTCATATATCATTCTAAATGATTCTAAACCCCTCTTCCATTTCTTAGGGACTAAAATATTATAATATTGATACCACAACTTCATCAAGTTAATATGCCTAATTGAAATCTTAAAGCATAGCAAAAAATAGATACTCCTGTCAAGATGTAATTAACTGGTGGCAAATTTTAACATATCTCACTAACTGGTTACTTTTATTTACTTACTAAAATACTAAGCAAAGAACCAGCTTCTTTTGTAATGCATTTGTAATGTAATGCATTGGTTGATCCTCTGAATTGTTCTTTTCGCCTCTATGTCATTTAGTTCTGCTCTAATCTTGACTATTTCCTTCCTTCTACTTGCTCTGGGATTTATTTGTTCTTGTTTCTCCAGTTCTTGAAGTTGTAGTGTTAGGTCTTTTATTTGAAATGTTTCTATCTTTTTTAGGTAAGCCTGTATTGCTATGAACTTCCCTCTCAGGACCGCCTTTGCTGTGTCTCATAGGTTTTGGACTGTTGTCTGTTCATTTTCATTTGTTTCCAGAAATTTTTTGATTTCTTTTCTTATCTCATTATTGACCCATTCATTGTTTAATAGTCTACTGTTCAGTTTCCAGGAGTTTGCAAGTTTTTGAAGTTTCTCTTTGAGGTTGATTTCTAGTTTCAATCCCTTGTGGTCCAAGAAAAAGTTTGGTATTATTTCAGTTTTCCTGAATTTGCTGAGGTTTGCTTTGTGTCCTATCATGTGGTCTATCTTTGAAAAACTGCCATGAGCATTTGAAAAGAATGTGTATTTTTCTTCTTTGGGATGTAAGGTTCTATATATGTCAGTTAAGTTTCTTTGATTCAGTGTGTCATTCTGCGCCACAATATGTTTATTAATGTTTTGTTTGGGAGATCTGTCCATTTTGACAGTGGGGTGTTGAAATCCCCTACTATCAGTGTGTTGCTGTCTATATCTTTTTTGAAGTCATCCAACAATTTCCTTATAAACTTGGGGACTCCTATATTGGGAGCATATAAGTTTACAATATTGATGTCTTCTTAATAGATTCTTCCTTTAAGTATTATAAAGTGCCCCTCTGGGTCTCTTTTTAAGGCCTTTGCTTTGAAATCTACTCTGTCTGATACAAGTATGGCAACCCCGGCCTTTTTCTCATGCCCATTTGCTTGGAATATTTTTTTCCATCCCTTTACTTTCAATTTGTGTAGGTCTCTTGCTCTGAGGTGGGTCTCTTGTAGAAAGCAGATGTGTGGGTCATGTTTTCTTATCCATTCATCTACCCTGTGTCTTTTGATTGGGGCATTTACTGGTTCTTTGAAAAGATAAATAAAATTGACAAACCTTTAAGCAGACTCATCAAGAATAAAAGGGAGAGGACCCAAATTAATAATATCAGAAATGAAAGAGGAGAAATAACAACTGATACCACAGAAATACAAAGGATCGTCAGAAACTACTATGAACAATTATATGCCAAG